CTTTAGATGATTTGCCGTAGCATCTCTACATCTTTTGAGTAGCAGCAACATGCTTTAGGGCAAGTTGATGTTTTGTAGCATTTTGTATATACTGACACCTGAATGTATACTTTTATGCATAGAAATTGGAAGCTGAAAGCATCTGTAAAACTATTTGGAAGTTGAACAAGAATCAAGAACCGCATACTAGCACGAGCCTTGTTACTGCCAATGAACCGAACTAGCTGTTTGTTTCATTCCTCCTGAAAGAGTCAGGATATTCCAGAAGAATGTGACTGAAGGTCAGCAGCAGCACTATCTCAAAAGTACCTCTTCAACGTGCATGATGAAAAGTTTGAAAATAACGAATGGCCTGACACAATGATCCGCGTGTGCTGCAGTTTTAAGACCACAAGGAGGCTATCAAAGTCAGAACATATGTTTATATATGACTTTAGTTATGCTAGGCTGTAGTGGGGCACTCCTTAGAGAGTACTGTAGTTTTGGGTTTCCATCTTGTACCTCTCGACAATCTCATCAATGCATCCTTCTCTCTCTAGTCTAGTAAGCTATGGCTACTAGTTAGTCCATATTTCAACAATCAATGCACTCCTGGTGTCAAACTATTGTAATGTTCATATTGTGTAGGCTGTAGTGGGGTAGCCCATAAGGGGTACAACCCAATTAGGGTTAGTACTTGTACCCACTTTGATCTTAGCTCATTCATTCTCGTTCAGTACTTTGACATGGTTTCAGAGCAGGTCCTGTTCCAGGACCGTTTTTTTTAGGGCCCACCGATTCGTTAGCTGCCCGTAGCAGCCTACCCTACCAGTCGCACTGCCCTGCCCTGCCCTAACCGTCACGCTGCCCTGCTCGCTGCGCGCCGCCCTGCCCTACCCGCGCGCCGCCTTTTCCTGCTCGCGTGCCGCCCTTTTCAGCCTGCGCGCCGCCCTGCCCTGCTCGCGCGCCGCCCTGCTGGCCGTCGCGCCGCCCTGCTCTGCCCGCGCGCCGCTCGTCGCCGCGCCGTGCCGCCCTGCCCGCGCGCCGCTCGCCGCCACGCCGCCCTGCCCTGCCCGCGCGCCGCTCGCCGCCGCGCCGCCCTGCCCTGCCCGCGCGCTGCCCTGCTGGCTGCCGCCCTGCCCTGCCCTGCTTGCGCGCCGCCCTGCTGGCCGCCGCCCTGCCCTGCCCTGCCCGCGTGCCGCCCTGCTGGCCGCCGCCCTGCCCTGCCCTGCCCGCGCGCCGCCCTGCTGCCCGCCGCCCTGCCCTGCCCTGCTCGCGTGCCGCCCTGCTGGCCACCGCCCTGCCCTGCCTGCCCGCACGCCGCCCTGCTGGCTGCCGCCCTGCCCTAGCCGTGCGCCGCCCCGCCCTGCCCTACGCGCGTCCCTAGCGCTTGCGTGCTGCCCTGCTGCTAGCGCGCCACACTACTCTGCCCGCTACGACTACTCTCAGCGTCCTCACCTTCGATCCTGAGGGCCGTCCGATCGAGTTCGATGCGTGGCTCGATGACTTACAGCTGTACCTACTGAGCGATTCTAGGGACGGCGTTTCGCTGTTTGACCTCACGTCTGGAGCCTCTCTCGCCCCTCCCGACACAGCTGACAGTGCGACTCGCTCACAGTGGCTTACCCGTGACGCTGCTGCTCGCCTAGCCGTTCGCAACCACCTCCCGTTAGCCGAACGCGCTCACTTTGGCCAGCACAAGACTGCTAGAGCCCTGTACGACGCTGTAGTCGCTCGTTACTCCTCCCCGGCCACTGCTGCTCTAGGCCACCTTATACTGCCCTACCTCTTTCCCGAGCTGTCTGCCTTTGCCACAGTCGCCGACCTCATCACTCACCTTCGCACTAGTGACACTCGCTACCGCGCCGCGCTTCCAACCAAGTTTCTCGACAAGAACCCCCCCCCCCCCCCCCATATACATCACTCTCTATTTCATCGTCACCCGCCTCCCTGACTCTCTTAGCGCAGTCAGGGACCTCCTTCTCAGCCTTGACCCAACAGACCTCACTGTCGACCTGCTCGAGAAGTACCTCCTTGCAGCTGAGACTACCATAGTGGCTGTAGGCGCTTCTCGTGGCAATCTTGGCACTCCCTTCTTTGAGGGGTGTTCCCCCTCCCCCCTTGTCACCTCTGTCGCTTCTGCTGCTGCTGTTGACTTCCTTCGTACTGAGGAGGTTGGGGCTGCGTCTACTCCTAGTGGGAGGCGCCGCAGCGGCAGGGGCAAGGGAGGCAAGGGTGGTGGGGGTGGCAGCGGTGGAGGCGGTGGTGGGGGCGGTGGAGGCGGTGGAGGTGGCGGTGGTGGTGGAGGGAGTGGTGGTGGGAGTGGAGGCGTTGGTGGCGGCCGTGGTGGCGTCAGTGGGAGTGGTGGCGGCGGCAGTGGTGGCGGCACTGGGAGTGGTGGCGGTCGGGGTGGAGCCGGTCGGAGGGGCGGTTATGGCGGTGGTCAGAGGCAGCAGCAGCAGCGTCAACGTGAGACCCAGACGCCCCAGGAGCTTCGTGAGTGGTTTGCTCAGCGTGGGGCGTCTGGGGGTAGTGTTCGCTGCCAGTACGTCATTCGCACAGGTGACCGCGCTGGTCAGACATGCGGGAAAGTTGGTCACACCCAGTCCCGCTGCTTCTCCCGTCTTGACGACGCCTGGCGCGCAGAGTTTCCCGACGCGACTGAGCTTCCCCGCTGGCTAGAGCTGCTTAGGCAGGGTGTTGATATCTTTGCTCTTGACTATGATGCTATCCTTGCTGCCATGTATGCATTGACTGTTAGTGCTGAGGGTGACTGTTACCTGTATGTGCCGCCCGACCCAGGTATAGAGGCTGCTGCTCTAGGTGCTAGTGAGTCTGCTCTCCCTGGTACTGCTCCTGCTGAGGCCTTGCACACCTTCACGCTTGACTCAAGTGCTTCCCGCTGTTTCTTTTGCGACAGTATCACAGTCACACCACTCCCTGCACCTGTTGCAGTCAGACTGGCTGACCCCTCAGGGGGGCCAGTTCTTGCCCGTTCCTCTACTGTTCTCCCATGTCCGGCGGTTCCGTCTGGCTCACTCTCAGGTCTTCACCTCCCCTCGTTCTCTACGAACTTGGTGAGTACCGCTGCCCTCCAGGATGCGATGGTCACTACCACCACTCCCGGGGGTCAGCGTGTGTCGATCTGCACGTGTATACGGACGGGCCGTCACCTGGCCACGTTCACACGTCGGCCTGGGTCGAGTCTGTACACACTGACTACTGAGCCTCCTCAGGTAGCTGCGTCTGGTCAGGTGTCCGCGTCAGGTCCGGTAGCAGCCCCCTGCTCGTGTCGCGCCCTGTCACACCAGACTCTTCTTTGGCACCACCGCCTTGGTCACCCCTCCGTGCCACGCCTCCGTGGCATGCACTCCCGTCTCCTTGTCTCTGGTCTTCCCAGGTCTCTGCCTCCCCTCCCACCTTCGCCTGCCCTTCCCTGCCTTCCCTGTGTCGAGGGGCGGCAGCGCGCCGCTCCTCACTCCTCCTCGTTTCCCCCGACGACTGCTCCCCTGCAGACTCTCCACATAGACGTGTGGGACCCAGCCCGCGTCCGTGGACAGGGCCGTGAGCGATACTTTCTGCTGGTTGTTGACGACTACTCGCGTTACACCACGGTCTTCCCCTTGCACAGCAAGGGGGAGGTCCCTGATGTTTTGATCCCTTGGATCCGCGCTGTCCGTCTCCAGCTCCGCGAGCGGTTCCGTGAGGACCTTCCTGTCCTGCGTCTGCAATCTGACAGAGGTGGTGAGTTTGCCTCCGACCTCTTGCGGGACTTTTGTCGTGGGGAGGGCATTCGCCAGTCGTTCACGCTTCCGGCCTCTCCGCAGCAGAATGGGGTTGCTGAGCGCCGCATTGGCTTAGTCATGGAGGTCGCTCGTACCTCCATGATCCATGCGGTTGCTCCCCATTTTCTGTGGCCGTTTGCGGTCCGGTACGCTGCGCATCAGCTCAACCTCTGGCCCCGTGTCTCCTTGCCGGAGACCTCGCCTACACTGCGTTGGACGGGGGAGGTTGGCGATGCGTCGGTATTCCGGGTCTGGGGCTCTCGTGCCTTTGTCCACGATACCTCCGTGGACAAGCTCTCCTCCCGCGCCATTCCCTGTGTCTTCCTTGGCTTTCCCTCTGACGCGCCTGGCTGGCAGTTTTACCACCCCACCACGAGCCGTGTCCTGCCCTCTCAGGACGTCACATTTGACGAGTCGGTTCCCTTTTACCGTCTCTTCCCCTACCGTAATGCCCCTCTCGTGTCTCGTGATCATCAGCTTTTCTGCACTGCTCTAGGCCTTGTGCCTACTCTGCCTCACTTGCTTACTGCTTGACTTTGTCTTGTAATGTGATCTATTTTTCTATACCTGCTTGTTTACTCTTGCTAGGGTGTGATCACTGTACTGCTTGTACAATCTTATAACTCTGCATGTGAACTGGCCTTGTGGCCCTTTGCTTGTGCTCGGACTGTGTGGTGACTTCGTGTTCCACCCCGAGCTATGCTTGTTGTGTCAAAACATATATTTATATATGACTTTACGTATGCTATGCTATAGTGGGGCACTCCTTAGAGAGTACTGTAGTTTTAGGTTTCCATCTTGTACCTCTCGACAATCTCATCAATGCATCCTTCTCTCTCTAGTCTGGTAAGCTATGGCTACTAGTTAGTCCATATCTCAACAATCAATGCATTCCTGGCTATCAGGAAGCGCAATGGGGTGCACTTTAAGAGCAAGTGCAGCATCATCACAGCTGAATACGACCTCTATCTGACTGACAACGACGGCAGGCTGGTTGTTAAGATAGGCCCACGCTATGACATTGGGGACATGGCTCCCAACGAGACAGAGTTTCAAGTGGCTGCTTTTGGAGATGGCTACTGTGTTTGGGAAAGAAGGCAGGAAGCAAGTCATGACAAAGCAGCGCCATGAGTATATATAGAGATGTTGTCTATACATGCAACCAAGGCCGTGCGCAAGCTATTATGTACATACACGGGAATGAATTCAAGAGCAGGGCAACCTTGCCTTGCCCAACTATGGCATGTTGGAAGCAAGCCACCAGAGCATGTTGGTCTTAGAGTTGCCATCATCAAAAGCACCTAGAGCAGCAATGTTCGCCCTGGCCCCCTGCGGGTCGTACAGCGCCTGCAGCGCCCACGCAAACCCGCGCCACTCGTCCGTGGTGGCACCACTCAGCACGGGTTGCGCCCACTCCACGAGCTGCTTGGCGAACTCGAGGTCGGGAAAGAGGTGCTTGAGGTAGGGCGAGACGGGCAGCACCTGGATGCCCACGCGCTTCTCCATGTCCGGCGGCGGGGCGAACCACAGCGCCGCGTCGCGCTTGGTGGACCACAGCACACCCACCATACAGTTGGCATCTGCAAACACTGCCTCGTAGCCAGGTGAGGGAGGGGTCCGGATTGGACGAGGCGAGCAGCACGTGCATGAGGGTCTGCTCGGTGAGGGCCTCCACGGCTGCGAGGGTGGCGCCCAGCGAGGCGAGCGGCTGGTCGCCCAGCACGGACGCCAGCAGCGCCCCCGCATAGTACGCGTTGACTGCCTCGCTGAAGCTCTCCTGGTTGCGCCCGTCACCAAACTCAAACAGCCCGCTGGCCCACGAGTGCAGCGCGTACGCGTCAACGTAGCACAGCCTCGGGAATGCCGCCGTGTGCTCCGCCGGCATGTAGTCCGCCATCAGGTCCTTGAGCAGCGCGCGGTACTGGTCGCGCCACGCGGCATCAAACTCGGCAACGGTGGCAGCGGCGTAGATGAAGTAGCCGTAGTGGAAGTGGTGGTCATTGTACATCCCCACTCCAAATTCCGCCCCCTGGTCAAGCGACCCCGCCTCGCTCACCACACCGCCCCACGTGGGATCGTACAGCAGGCGGTTACCGGGGAAGGTGCCGTCCAGCCACGCAGAGAGCACGGACCGCAGGGGCGGCAGCACGGCGGCCAGGCTGTCATCGTCTTGCACCTGTTTCGCAATGAGTGCCAGGCGGGCGGCGCGCGCAGCTGCCTTGCCGAAGGAGTAGGTGGAGGTGGAGGAGAGGGGCGGCAGCGCTGCCACGTCCTGCTTGAGGCTGGCTCTGAGCTCGTCCAGCAGCTGTGCGTCGGACGAGAGGGGCCCCGCTTCCCATGTGGACGGGCGATTGGGCACGTTGAGGCGCCACACGACCCCCTGCATGCCCACCGCCTGGCCGTCGATGGTGGGGTATGCCAGCACTGATGCATCCGGCACCGACGCATCTTGCACGGACGACCGCAGTGCATTGCTGCGTGCGTTGGAGGGGGTGGCAGAGGCGGGGTTGTGGTGGCCGCGGATGGCCCCCATGGAGCCTGAAGGTGAGCCGCTGCTGTGACGGCGGAGGGCGGAGGCAGGGGAGGGGCTGTGCGCACTCACTTCCATGCGCCTGTGCACTGCTCATGGGGGAGGGAGGGGGAGAGGGGAAAGAGAAGGAACAAGGGAGAAAGGGGTTAGCTTGACGGACAAATGATGAGGGCATTCCACGTGGCGTAGCAGCACACATGGCAACACAAGTTGCAGCACGGCGCTACTCACTTGGCAGCGAGAGCATGAGCAGCGGCGCCTCGGAGTCGCCGTCAGGCAGGTGGCGCCAGTGCTGGGTGCGCCAGGTGCACTGGATGAGGAACTCGCCCACCTGCGCACTCCCCCCCACCGGCACCGTGGGCACGTGTGCGTCCAGCAGCGCCTCCTCGTCCTGCGCAGAGGAGCCCGGCAGCAGCGCCACGCGCATCGTCCCCGTGAATGGTGCATCCGCCACCAGCGCTGACCCGTCCTGCCGCATCACCAGTGGCGACGACAGGTACAGCAGCCACGTCTGGTGAGGGGAGAAGGGGGGAGAAGAGAGCGGGGGTGGTGATGGATACAGTGAGTGCAGGGTTCAATGGCATGATTTTTGAGAGCAAGCGGATGGGGACGATAGCAGGGGCAATGGGAGAATGAGACACGGGAATGGGGCTCGTGGCGGAGAGCGAGTGGCGGGTGTGGTGGGGCAGCAGAGAAGGGGGAAGGACGCGGAGGTGGCGCCCAGCTGACCTGGCCATTGTTGAGCGCAACACGGTACTTGCTGTTGTCGCTGCTCGCCTCCACGCCTGTCATGGCGTGGATCGTCATCAGCATGGGCGTCGCAGGGGGACCGCCCGGGAGGAATATGAACGTCAGGAAGGGCGACCCGCGCACCAGGGGGACCTCGAGCACGGAGGGATCGGAGGGCGCGGAGGAGGGCTGGCGGAAGGAGAGGGTGGCGGAGAGGTCGTCGTAGGCGGAGAGCTGGTGGGGTGGGAGGCCCTGCAGCGTGGAGAGCATGAGCGTGGTGATGAATGCCTGCACGATGTACCCGGGTTGCGGGTCGCGCACCGGCAGCCCCCACGTGACGCGCCCCTCTGCGCTCTGCACCACGTAGGGAGTGCCGAGCTCGGGGCTGCCGCCCTGCCCCAGCACGAAGTTCTGCCATGGCGCGTTCGTCGGATACGGCGCCTGGAGTCGGGGGAAGAGGGGGAGTTGAGCAGGATGAGGGGAGAGGAGGGAGGAAAGCACGGGGAACGAAACGAGAGCGCGCGCCCACTGGGGAGGGCTGGGGAACTCACGGTGAGGTTGGTGGATCAAAGGGCGGAGGGCGCGGGAGCCACAGTGGAGGAGAGCGCGGGGAAGGCCGCCGTCGCCATGGCGGCGGGGATGGGACGCGCACGGAGTGCGGCGGAGATGACAGGGGGAACGAGTTTTGCGGGGATGGGGAGATCAGGCGGCACGCTAGGGGGCCGGCTGCGGTGAGGCGTGTGCCGTGAAGGCCAGTATAGGCGCTGAATTGGTGCTTCTGGAAGGAGATGGCTGTTGCGGCAGTGGTGGTTCGTGATATTTCTGTGATCTCGGGAGCTAATCAATAGCTCGCTATATTAGCAACAGCGCTTGCGTCCTGGCAGTTGGATGTCGCGTCGCGCGATGGCAGTGCAGTCATCGCGCCTGACTCTGTGTGGTGGCGGCGGTACTTGCCTTCTGCGAACCGGGGCCCAGTGGCACGCGAATCAGTCGGACACGCGACGCTGAGTCCGCCACACTGCTAGAACAAAGCCGCGGGCTCTCACTCTAGTCGAAATTCTTGCTTGAGTACAATGGTCATCGACCACTCGACCACTTTACTGTATTGCGGCAACGCGAAAGCCATGTCTGATTGAAGCTCTGCGCCATTCCCACCGCCGCACCACGCGTGCACTGCAAGGTTGGAATGGCACAGGAACACCACAGCTCGTCTCGCCTGTTACCCTCTTTCAGCAAGGGAATGTTGCGACCAAGACAATGCGTACGCGATGTTCTATTTGGACGTCAACAACGAATGCGAAGACAGACTGGATCGTCGCTAGTCTCGCAAGCACCTTGTTCTTGAGGTTCAGCGACCGTGAGGTGAAGTCGAGACGGTCCGTGTGATTGCTGCCACGCTCCAACCAATATTGGACTATAAAGGCTCGTTATCAAGCACCGCGCTCCACACTACAAGCCAACAATAGAATTGTCAAGTTACAATGTTGAATATTGAGAGTACAGCAATTGTCTAACTCTATAGTAGTCGTCACACAGCGAGCCTTCGAGTACAAGCCTGTGGTCTGGGACCTGCACAAACATCACAAAAACGGTTAGTGAGAATGGGATAGGTGGTGCTTCTAGTAGAAACAGTGTGGCAATTTCACCTTTCTTAGTGCAAGAGAATTTCCACACTTGAGAACAACAGATCCGGCAGTTGCTTTGCTACAGGGGCCGACTCCATGAACCCAGCCTGAATCAAGAAAGCACAGGGAAGACATTGAGATGTAGTGGTAAAAAGGTTAAGAGTGCACCCGCTACAACGATTGGCATTACGTTGAAGGATGGACCTTGGCTGTGTAACATGCAGGCCAAGAGTACCTGACCTCAGGTAGTGGGAATGGGATAGGTGGTGCTTCTAGTAGAAACCCTTCAATGTCAGCCAGGGCGGCCAGGTTCTGGCACATACTATTGGTACCAACCAAAAAAGAAAACTACTCCCAGTGCCAACCATATAGGTAAGTAACGCACATACTATTATTGGTACATACCATAAAGGTTAGTAACGCACTTACTCTCTATGCCAACTATATGGGTAAGTAACGCTACTCTTGGTAACACCAATATAGGTGAGTAACGATCTTACTCTCGTGCCAACCAAATGAGTAAGTAACAATCTTACTTACGGTGCCAACCATATGGGTAAGTAACACTCTTAGGGTACATTCCTGTCTTGAAATTTGTGTCACAAGCGGAGGTACCGCTCTGTGCCGAATCAAACCGTTTTGTAAAACATTTTGAGCTTGGGTTCGATTCTGTACAGTGCGGTACCTCCGCTTTGTGACACAAATGTCAAGACAGGAATGTACCCTTACTCTCAGTGCCAACCATATAGGTAAGTAACCCGCTCACCCTTGATACTAACCATATGGGTAAATAACGCACCTACTTTTGGTACCAACCATAAGAGTAAGTAACGTAAGTAACTCACTTACTCTTGGTACCAACCACAAGAGTAAGTACCGTAAGTAGCTCACTTACTCTTGGTACCAACCATATGGGTATGTAACGCATTTACTCTTTGTGCCAACCATAAGGGTAAAAAGATCTCTCTCGATGCCAACCATATGGGTAAGTAACGCTCTTGCTTTCGGTGCAAACCATATGGGTAATTAACGCTCTTACTCTTGGTCCCAACCAGAAGGATATGTAACGCACTTACTCTTGGTACCAACCATAAGGATAATTAACGCACTTACTCTTTGTACTAACCATATAGGTGGTTAACTCACTTCCTCTTAGTACCAACCATATGGGTAAGTAACGCACATACACTTGGTACTAACCATATGGGTAAGTAACGCACTTACTCTTGCTACCAACCGTAAGGGTAAGTAGCGCACTTTCTCTCAGTCCCAAGAATATGGGTAAGTAACGCACTTACTCTCGGTGCTAACCATAGGTGTACGTAACGCACTTACTCTCAATACCAGCCATATGGATAAGTAACGCACTAACTCTTGGTACTAACCATATGGGTAAGAAACACACTTACCCTTGGTACTAACCATAAGGGTAAGTAACGCACTTACTTTCAGTACCAACCGTATGGGTAAGAAACACAATTACTCTTGGTACTAACCATAAGGGTAAGTAACGTACTTACTCTTTGTGCCTACCGTATAGGTAAGTAGCGCTCTTACTCTCAGTGCGAGCCATATGGATATGTAACGCACTTACTCTTGGTACTAACCATATTGGAAAGTAACGCACTTACTCTTGGTGCCAACCATAGTAACAACCATAGTAACGTTTTTACTCTCGATGCCAACCAGATGGGGCTAGTAACGCACTTACTCTTGGTACTAACCATATGGTTAAGTAACGCACTTAGTACCAAGAGTATGTGCAATACTTAACCATATCGTTGGTACCGAGAGTAAGTGCGTTACGTACACCAATGGTTAGCACCGAGAGTAGTGCGTGACTTACCCATATGGTTGGTACCGAGAGTAAGTGCGTTACTTACCCTTATAGTTGGTACCAAGAGTAAGTGGGTTACTTAACCATATGGTTGGCACTGAGAGTAAGATTGCTACTTGTCGATAGGGTTGGTACCGAGAGTTAGTGCGTTACTTACCCATATGGTTGGCTATGAGAGTAAGTGCGTTACTTACCCTTATGGTTGGTACCAAGACTAAGTGCGTTACTTACCTATATGGTTGGCACAGAGAGTAAGTGAATTACTTGTCCGTATGGAGAGCACCAGTAAGTGTGTTACTTACCCTTATGGTTAGTTCCAAGAGTAAGTGCGTAACTTACTCATATTGTTGGTACCAAGAATAACTGCGTAACTTACCCATATCGTTGGTACCGAAAGTAAGTGCGCTATTTACCCAAATGGTTCCGCTCCCTCCCTCATTTTTCACTAATTTCCAAGGTCCACCGCGAATCTCTACCACCCAAGCAGTCGTTTGTTTACCGCCAACTCCAACGCGGCTCGAAACTGTATACATTCCGTGTGGAAATTGTTCATCGCTTTGCTTCGCGGCTCGAAACTGTGTAGGTTCCGTGTGGAAATTGCTCATTGCGTGCTCTCAATGCGTGGTTAGCCTCAGATATTTTGACGAGCAGGTTATTCCCTCTCCTTGGGGAGAGCTTCAGTCGGTTCAAGCTGCAACGTGCACGGGCATCGGGCATCGTGCTGGGCGCCGATTTCGCCATCTAGCTCTTCACCAGCCTGCCGTCGTCCTTTGCAGCTAAGTGCTCCTTCCACTGCTGCTGAAGTTCTTTTCATATTTCCAGTTTTTTTTTCGTGCTGTTAATTTGTTTTCCAGCCAAAGCACCGCCTGTATAGTGTCAGAATGCTATAATTATCTAGTCTGCAGTGGGGTACTCTATAGTGAGTACTGCCCAAATTAGGGTTTGCTATATGTATCCTATCTGCTGCTAGCCCCCCCTTTCTGTTTCTAATTCTCGTTCTTATTTCTCGACATGCTATCAGAGCGAGAACGCTCCTGGCCTGTGGGCCCACCTGCTTCCGCTGCTGTCCTGCCTGTCGCGCGCCCGGGGCGCGCGACGTATTCTGCCTGCCGCGCGCCCGGCGCACGCGGCGTTTTTTCTTGCCGCCGCGCGCTCGGGTTGCGCGGCGGTTTTCTGCCCGCCGCGCGCCCTGGGCGCGCGTGGCGGTTTCGTCGCCCGTCACGGCACCCCGGGGGCCCGCGCGCTGTCCCCTCCCGTCGCCCGTCGTGGCGTCCCGGGGGCCCGCGCGCCCCCCCCTCCCGTCGCCCGTCGCGGCGACCCGGGGGCCCGCGCGCCGCCCTGCCCGTCGCCCGTCGCGGCGCCCTGGGGGCCCGTGCGTCGTCCCCTCCCGTCGCCAGTCGCGGCGTCCCGGGGGCCCGCGCGCCCCCCCCCCTCCCGTCGCCCGTCGCGGCGCCCCGGGGGGCCGCGCGCCGCCCTGCTCGTCGCCCGTCGCAGCGCATTAGCTGCTGCCCGCGTATCTGCCTCGCGCCGCACGCGCGCCGCCTGCGTTGGGGGTATGGGGGTGGCGGATGTGTGAGCCGTCCCCTACTCCTCCTCCTCCGTCTCCCGCTGCTGCAGCTGCCGCTGAAGGGGGTGGGTATGTGGTAGCCGAGGGAGTGGCTCTAGGGGGGTGTCGTGGGAGTGGAGCTAGAGGTGCAGCAAGGGGTGTGTGAAAGGGGTGTGGGACAGTTGGGGGAGGTTGAGCGGAGGAAGCCGTCGTGACGTCAGCAGCGCCAGTAGTCCGGGGCCCTTGCTCCGGTAGCCCAGCGAGCCTGCTGCGCCAGTTGCCCGTGGGTCCGTTGCTCCTGCCGCTCGTCTTAGCCGCGGAGCCAGTTACTCCTGTAGTCCGGGGCCCTTGCTCCGGTAGCCACCGTGTGCGCCGCTCCTGTTGCCCGTGTGTCTGCGGCTTCACCCGTCGCCTCCTATCTCCACTCCTCTCACAGTCCTTCCTCCTCCTCACTTGCCTTCTGTGACTGCCTCTAGCTTTGCTTGTGCTTGTGAACTCCTTATGCGACTGCTTGCTGTGCTGATCATACCCCACTTTGCCTATGGGGGTGTGTCAGAATGCTATAATTGTTTAGTCTGCAGTGGGGTACTCTATAGTGAGTACATCCCAAATTAGGGTTTGCTATATGTATCCTATCTGCTGCTAGTGCAACCCCCCCTTTCTGTTTCTAACTTTCTACTAGCGTTTCTCGACATAGAGCTCCATGTCTCCCACCCTAGGTCTGGGTTAGCGTCTTTAGATCGGTCTAGAGTCAGCGTCCTTAAGTCAAGATGTGTCGGTCTGTCAGAGCTTTGTGGTGCGGTTGCTTTGGCTGGAAAACATTCCCCATTTTCCCACACACGACTTCACCGCTTTTGTCGTCTTTATGGCATCCCACTGGCACTTGAAACTGACTTTGCTGTTTCTGTTTTTTTTTTTCTAATCCGTTCAGGTGTTCCTTCAATTATCTGGGAGCAGCCAAGGCATTTAAGGATCGAAGATCAAGAGGATCAGCATACAAGGCAGTGCTCCTCAAGCCAAGTCTTCAAGGCAACTGTCAAGCCGAGATTTGAATTGACGCTCAAGACATGCAA